TTTGACTTGACCGCGCTTGCATCCAGCCTCTGGAACTCCTTTTCAGCCCTTAGTTATGATATTCAGCGTAGTGTGTGCGTTCTTGTGCCTTGATGAGTCAGGTCAGTGGATACCCCTCATCTCTTCCCTCATCCAGTTGTAATTTCCATTGTAATATTTGCACCTTGGCCTGGCCTTATCTTGAACTAGGTAACAATTAAATCTGAATGACAACACTATATGGTGACTGGTGCCAACTGGAGCAAGGTGTTCCAGTTTGGCCACCATACCCTCCTCGTTTGTTATGATGAGGTCAAAAGGCTAGGGTGTTTGCTCCCCTCTGTAATGTGTCGGGTCTCTAACATGTTGGAACACAAAATTATCTCTCAGAGTTTCTACAAAAAGAGTAGCAGGATTATTCAAGTCATTTGGGGTGAACTCGTTTCTCCAGTCGATGTCGCCATAGTTAAAGTCCCCCATTATAAGGAGGTGGCTGGGGTTAAGCATCGTCGCGTTATATATTAAGGCTCTTAAGTTCCTTTGATTTAGTGGGCCACAATTTGGGGATCTGTAGATACACCCGACAATAAGTAAGTCCCCTCCCTTTAGTTTAATTTTACACCACTTGGACTCTTCAAAAACATCCTCTCCCTGTACCGTCGCCTGGCTGGCTCTAAGGTCTTGCCTAGCATAGATAACCACACCCCTCATGCAGGATTCTTGAGAAAGGTTCGTAAATGAGTCTTATCCAGCAATACTAAACTCACATTCCTCTGGGTCGATTCTCCTGTTCTTGTACAACAGTTCGACGACTCCTACAATATCTGGTTGGTGTACCTTCAGTAGTGTTTCAAACTCCTCTCTCTTATCAAGGAACGTGTCAGTATTGGTGTACATTACATTCAAGCCTGAATTTGTTCTCGGTAACGTCTCTGCTCTTAGTAGTAACCCCATTCTCAGAAGCTGCAGCATTTGCTAAGTACACTGTATTTTGCAGGGTGTGGTTAGAAATGTCATTGTTTATAAGGCGCTCGCCTCCTCCCGGCTGATAGTCGGAACTGGTGCCACCTCCCGGGTGGGGGGTAGCGCGGGTGCGCTGCTGTTCCCCGGCCCTGTGTCGGCACACTTGCTTCCACTACTCTCTCCCTGAATAACACCTATGTACACCCGTCCCTGCTCCTCCTCGACTCCTCCCACTTCTGCTTCAGGCCCTTCAGGAGCTTCCTGTGCTGTTCCCTCTGCATTACCGTGCGATGTGGGAGAATGAATACACTCCGAAATGCCTCGCTTTTGCTAAGTTTTGACACGTCCGAGGATGCAGTGGCGTACTGTCTAAAGGTTGAGATCTTAGTTATTAGAAACTGTGGGGTACGTGATGTTGTTTCACACTCAGGATGGGATGGAGAAAGGAAACTCACAATGTGCTCTCTGTATACATATTGTATTGGATGTACAGTGCAGCTTGGTGCTGGGAAGTGGCAGCGTGGTTACAAGCATGATGTAGAGAGAGCTGGTTGGTGAGGGTGTTCAGAGGAGGACCAGCTTGCCCAATGAGTCACATAAGTCGCTGGGGGGCTAAGGGCCGCCAGGCAGGAGGAGGAGGAGGAGGAGGGAGGAGGTGTTGCTTGCTGGTTGGTGTAGGTCCGAAGAGAGATAAGGTCACCACGAGGTCAGGTCTTATATATAGCGGGTAGGCGTGGCTTAATAGTTGACACCTCCGTGGTGTATGGCGGCGCTGGTTGACCTGAACCACGAAGGTATACACTATTGGAATTCGCGGGGTTGGCTACTCAGCGACACACAGCGTTTGTAGGGAGGAATCCCACTACAATACTCTCCCTTCCTTCAGACGATTGTAGGAGCTTGTTGTCTGCAGGGGTTGCATGCCATGTGAGACACTTGCCCCTTAACGGTGAGGCGTGGATAGGCCGGCCCGCTAGGGGAAGCAACTCTGTCTAGATACACGAGATCTGTGGGAGAAAAGAGGGAGAAGGAGGGTTGTGGAGGCGATGAATGTTGTGCTTCACTCGCGACAGGTACAGAGTCCTCAGATGCGCCTGCTGGGGTGTGTGGGCCTGGGTCAGGAGCAGGGGCTGTGTCAGCAGGAAGAGGGTCCATGACAGCAGCAGGGTGCATGACAGCAGTAGGGTCCACGACAGCAGCAGGGTGCAGGACAGTAGCAGGGGGTACCTGAGGGGAAAAAAAAAAGGGTGTGTGGGGCCGCACTCAGGCGCATGGGCCGCGTCGGGAGCAGGGACTGCCAGGCAGGAGCGGAGGAGGGTCCGCGTCAGGAGGAGGGTCCAGGACAGTGGCAGGGGTTACTGCTGGGCCGGGGGTGGCGTCTGAGGCAGGACGGGTGTGTTGGGGTCGGTAGGACGTGGTGCTTGGGGCAGGAAGAGGAGCGGCTGTCTGCTTAGAGTAGCAGAGCTGCTCTATGGTGTCTAACCTGCGGTGTAGAGACAGTAGCTGTAGAGCTGATGATAGCTGCCTCTGCGTGGGTAAGCCAATCTTCCATGTTGCTTGAAGACTGAGAGAGTGATCAGTTTCTCCTCCATCCTGTGTGAGTGCGAATCTCCGGGGGTCACCATTTGTGGGGTACGAGTTATTGGTTCACACTCAGGATGGGATGGAGAAATGAAAATCACAATGTGCTCTCTGTATACATTTTGTATTGGATGTACAGTGCAGCTTGGTACTGAGAAGGCAGCATGGTTACAAGCGTTGAGTAGAGAGAGCTGGTTGGTGAGGGTGCTCAGAGGTGCCATGCTCGCCGGCGGGAGCGAGGGCCGCCAGGCAGGAGGAGGAGGTGTTGCTTGCTGGTTGGTGTGGGTAGAAAGAAGGCAGGTCGATACGATACGACGTCTTTAGTTATGAGGTGAAAGAAGATTATTAGGGGTTGAAGGAAAAGTGGTGAAACTGAAATACAGTACGAGTAGAAAGAATCTGGGCTCAACCAGATCGCTTCATCTTCTTATTGGTGTTTTATATTTGTTCTGCTCCCTTGGGTCGTCAGACTTTTGTATTAATATTGGTTTATTTATATAATACTGCTTATTATTATTATTTTTATTATTGTTGGAGTTAGTGAGCCCGCCCAGGTCCTTGTGTAACTGGGAGGGTAGTCACATTTTTATTTTATTTTTATTTTTTTTATTTTTTTGAGGTGTTAGTTAAGTGTTAGTTGTGTTGGTCCAAAGGTACACTGTATGGAGAGGCCTGCCAGGTTCTTAGTGGAGCTGATAGGTCACTCTCATCTTTATTCCTCTATTAATGTTTTATGTGTAAATGTGTACAGTATATTGGGGCAGGAGGTGGTTCAATTACTTCTTCTTGGCTGATGTAGCTGGGAGGGTAATCACATTATTATTATTATTATTATTATTATTATTATTATTTTTTTTTTTTTTGATGGGTTCGTAGGCCACTTGGTCCTTGTGTAGCTGGGAGGGGTAGTCACATTTTCTAAGATGTTAGTTCAATGTTATATGTTAAATGTTAAATGTTAAATATTAGTTATGTTAGTCAAAAGGTACACTGTATGGAGAGGCCTGCCAGGTTCTTGTGGAGCTGGTAGGTCACTCTCATCTTTTATTCTCTCTATTAATGTTTTATATGTATATTGGGGCAGGAGATGGTTCAATTACTTTCTTCCTGGCTGATTTAAACCAACTGTGTTCTTGGAATTCTTCGTTGTCTATATTATTTATCCAGTTTTGATATGCTTCTGTGTTAAGTTCAGTCACTTTTTTCCAAATATTTACAGCTTTGTTGTGTATATCTACATTGATTGCTAAGAGGTTTGCTCTCTTGTGTAGCTGTTCATTATTGATGTGGTCTGTATATTTTATGTTATATATAAATCTGAGGGCTATATTTTGTACTGTTTGTAACCTTTTAATGCACGTTTTACTAAGGGTGTTCAATGGGATGGGTGGGTAGTCCATAATTGATTTAACAAGGACAATATATAGCGGAGGTAGGCGTGGCTTAATAGTTGACCTCCGTGATGTATGGTGGCGCTGGTTGACCTAGACCACGAGGCATACACTGGGGAATTCGCGGGGTCGGCTACTCAGCGACAAACAGCGTTTGTAGGGGAGGAATCCACTACAAAACAAAGTCAGATTTTGCCCGTTTTTTACTTGCCTTAGTTGTTAAAACTATTCTGTTGTGGTGTAGCAACTGAGTATTTTATAATAGCTAACACCAGACAATTGTATTCAGCTCAGGGAAATCTATACTTATGAAAGGGATAATGCTTATGAAAAACTTTGTTTCCTTTATTGTTATGAATTCTATATTAGATAAACCACGAATTCCTGTGTTTCATGTACATACTTCATTCGTTGATTCGTAATAACCCTTTATGATAAGTTATAGTGAAATGAATATGGAGATACATTTTGCATTTTGCTTATTACTTCAAGCCTGAATGTGATCTCCGAACATGGGTAAAGCTTGTAATTGTTATATTTAATTAAGTACAATATTTTATGTAATTGAAATTGTAATTGTAATTTGAGAGTATTGTGAACCAAGTAATTGTAATTGTATTTGTAGTTTAAACTCTAGAAGAGCGTTCGAGATTGTAAATGCCTTTAAATATTGTGATCAGTCAAAGCCTTCTACAGACTTGGGTTAAGGGCGCAAGTCTATTTTGAACAATGGGGGATACAATATATGCCATTATCCTCCTTCCCCATTATGACCATCTCTATAGTTGGTGTGGCCTCTAGGTGAACCAGGTAAAAAATTTTAGTGTGTGTGTCAGTATGTTTACATGATAATAAGCGCAAGCTAATGCATGTGTGGTTGTATTTATGTACTACATCAGCGTGCTTATCCCTCCCTCAGTCACGGCAGACCTCGTCCGGAGGCGGGCAGAACACAATGATGGCGAGTTGGCCACGTTGGAGGAGCTCTCCCTCCACCAGCAAGACATACACGTAAAAAATTTTAGTGTGTGTGTCAGTATGTTTACATGATAATAAGCGCAAGCTAATGCATGTGTGGTTGTATTTATGTACTACATCAGCGTGCTTATCCCTCCCTCAGTCACGGCAGACCTCGTCCGGAGGCGGGCAGAACACAATGATGGCGAGTTGGCCACGTTGGAGGAGCTCTCCCTCCACCAGCAAGACATACACAAAATTGAACACCTTGACCGGTGGTGCCCGCGCCTGCGTATATTGTACCTGCAAGGCAACCTTATAGCTAAGATAGGTGAGTCACTTTATTTGTGGCCCTTCAACACCAGGTTACCATAGGCTATACAGTAACTTGTTACTTCTACCTCCAGCATACTGTACCAGTGTACCTCATCTTTAAATGCCTACAGTATACCACCAAGCCACTTCGTCGCTAGTTGCTTTAACTTCGGGTCACCTCACCACTGTTATTGTCCCTCCAGGTCACCTCACTACAAGTTACAGTACCCCTAGGTCACCTTACTCCTAATTACAGTACCTCTAGATCAACTTACTCTTAATTACAGTGCCTCTAGGTCACCTTACTCTTAATTACAGTACCTCTAGGTCACCTTACTCTTAATTACAGTACCTCTAGGTCACCTCACCACTAGTTACAGTACCCCCAGGTCACCTCACAACTTGTTGCAGTACATCAAGGTCACTTTACTTGTGATTACAGTACCTCCAGGTTACCTTACCATAAGTTACAGTACCTCCAGGTCACCTTACTCTTAATTACAGTACCCCCAGGTTACCGTACTACTAATTACAGTACCTGCAGGTTATCTCACCACTAGTTGCAGTATCTCAAGGTCACCTTAATCCTAATTATAGGACCTCCAGGTCACTTTACCACTAGTTGCAATACTGATAGGCTAAAACCTTCTAAATCTAAAAAATTTCAAAGCAATGTAATGTACCTGGGCTATATGAAATCTCTGAGAGATTATTACGGGAAAAGCTTTAACAAGCTCGAAAAAATGCAAAATAAAACCCTGAGATTTATCCTACGCTGTCCCATGAGTACTAAAGTACTTAGTATGAGGAAAGAACTAGGAATACCCAATTTCAAAGATAGAATAATGGACGTCAACCTAATGATAGCCCCAAGGCTCTTCTGTGGTGATCCAGACAATATTGTTTCTAAGAAATGCTTTAATATATGAGTCATGAAACTGGTGAATCTAAATGGATCCAAATTACTGCTACACATATGAGGATGCTTGGACAAGGCAATCTTTACAAAGTTGAGACACAGCAGCGCTTCCTGCTACCCTGGCGGACAGTTGCCTTCGACATCGTAACACCCACGCAACTGCCTAAACGACTGACCACCCATAATACTTATTTCCAGCACACTGTCAAAGTGAGAGATCTTGATCAAACATATTTAAAATAACATCACACAGAACATCTACTCCGATGGCTCTCTAATTACTGTCTGCGAGAGGGCTGGAAGTGTTTCAATTATGACTAAGCCTGATGGTATTGTAATAGAGAAAGCAGCTAGAATTAGTAATTGGGCATCCACTCTACATACTTACAGTAACTCTGTCATACTCACAGCCCTGAAACTTGTTGAAAACACTGCCACTGACAGTTTTATCATCATTGACTCCTTATCCTCACTACTTGCTCTTGATACCCTTAACTCAGTTTGCCACCCACTTGTCTCTGAAGCCAAACTCAAACATATTTGTGCCTTGTCCACGGGGATATTAGGATGAAGCTGCTGTGTATTCACACTCACATAGGCATCAGTCACCATGAGAGTTGATGCCCTTGTTAAACTCTCGTCCAACAAAGACAATGTTGAATACAATCTAGGACTGTCAAACAGGAAATAACTTTTTGATGAATTTGAAGCCAGTAGACAAGTGCAAACATTCAATCTATTGTTTACCTGGGACAAGTTGAGTGGGTGTGACATATTATGACCTGTCCGGCAGAAAATGTGGGTCGGCTGCGGGATCTGGAGTACGTCAATCTGGCTCTCAACAACATAGAGCGGGTGGAGGGCCTCCAGAGGTGCGAGCCCCTCCAGAAACTCGACCTCACAGCCAATTTCGTCTGCGACCTCACCTCCCTCCTAAGCCTCCAGGACCTGCCCAACCTCAGAGAATTGTGAGTGTTTATCTGTTGGAATTAGGTTTCATTTTGACACTTTTCTAGGAAATGGAGAATTAGCCTGGACACTTGTTTTAGGAAATGTGATGTTATTCTGAAAAAATTTTCTAGGGAATTTCTATGAAATAAATTTTTAGCCTGGATACGTGTTCTAGGAAATGGATTGACTAATTGCGTTAATCATTGTAGATAGTAACTCATTTATAATATTTACAAGTTCTGTGAGTATTAAAGGCTTAAATGTATATATCATTTCTGTGAATATAGACAGTTTAATCTTACATAACATCTACGAAGTTTTAGGCTAATATATAATTGATATCTGGAGTATATTCAAACAATCAGTTTAAAAAAAAGTATGTTTTAACAATATACTGCCAGATGTGGGGTCACTAAGTCTAAGGGGAAAACTTAACTATACAGTAGTCTTAATTTTAAGGGTTGCTGCCACCAGACCCCCTTTGGGCAGTATGTAGCTCGTTAGGTAGCGGCCAGAGTGGACTAGACATTGAGTTAGGTTTTTCATTGACCAGATCGATAAGGGGAAAGAAGGGTGAAACCATAACATGTCTTAATTTATTTATTCCTTATACAACATACTGGTAAAAAACATACAAGTGAATTGGCCTTCCTCAGAAGAACAACGAAGATGTTGGTTACCCCGCTCGGCACCAGACGTCTTACATTAATTACGTGTAATCCACATACTTATTGCATAACAATCCGTGACCTCCTTACCTCGGTCATTCCTTCTTACACTACCCCTTAACTCGTCAGACTGCTCCACCTGTATGGAATATAGCACCATAGGTCATCACACATAGTAGCACCATCTCACCTCCCTGTAGCACCATCTCAACACACCTGTTACACTCCACACCTGCAAGTATGGGACTCCTTGTAATTTCTAGGTATACATAACAGGCATCTCGTTCGCACACCGCCCTTGGTGGGTAGAGACGAGGGCTACACCAAGAGACATACCAGTATTATTTCTACGCCTGGTATTATAGGTCGCTCCTATACTGTCAGACTGGGGTCACTAATTCTAAGGGGAAATACTTAACTCTAATCTTAATTTTAAGGGTCGCTGCCACCAGACCCCCTCTGGACAGTATGTCACTCGTTTGGTAGCAGGCAGAGTGGACTAGGCATTGGGTTAGGTTTTTCATTGACCAGATCGATAAGGGGAAAGAAGGGTGAAACCATAACATGTCAACAAATTTATTCTTTATAAACTATATGGTAACAAAAAAATACATTTGAGCTGGCCTACCTCAGAAGAACAACGATGAGTTTGGTTACCGTGCTTACAATATCATTTAACACTTCGGACTGCTCCACCTGTATGGAATATAGCACCTTAGGTTATCATACATAGTAACACCATCTCACCTCCCTGTAGCACCAGCTCACCACACCTGTTATACTCCACACCTGCAAGTATGGGACTCCTTGTGATTTCTAGGTGCACACATCAGGCACCTCGTTCGCACACCGCCCTCGGTGGGTAGAGACGAGGGCTACACCCAGAGACATACCAGTACTGTTTCTGCGCCTGGCATTATAGGTCGCTCCAAGTGACGACCGCGGAGTTTCTCAAGCATTTCCTTATTTATTCCTACTCATTTGGGGTGGTCTGCTGGGGATCCACAGGTTTACAGTGGAATAGTATAGCTGGTAGTCACCTCACATGGTGGGACGCTCACAGGGAGAATGGCCGACGCCCAGCAAGGTGCTCCGACCGCGTGTGACCTGAGAGGAGGACAGCCATGCTCGCCGGCGGGAGCGAGGGCCGCCAGGCAGCGGCGGAGGAGGTGGAGGTGTTGCTTGCTGGTTGGTGTAGGTAGAAAATAGAGAGGTCACCACGAGGTGAGGTCTTTTATAGCAGAGGTAGGCGTGGGTAGATACTAGGGTGTGTCATAGGAGGGAAGATCAGCTAAAACTAATGGCCCATCACTTTTTTGGTAGATTTTAGTGTATATAAACAGAAAATAATTTCAGTTTCAATATTTTGCAACCTTTTGCTAGGTAAATTTTAGCGTGAAATTTATCGAAAATCTAACGTACAGCTGCATTAGTGCATTACAATTAAATAGTGAACATTGCTTTCTGACTTCATTCTTTAACAACCCAACTAACAATATTTTTTCTGTTTCAGATTCTGATGCATTTATAAGTTGATAATATATGCGATGGCTGCTTGTGTCAGGACGAGGAACCAAAAATCCAGCCATCTCAGTCACTATCTTGGGTCTGGGAGAGCTCCTGAAGTGGAGTTACCTACATTGAGATGCTTTGAGATACGGTGTTTTAATCAGGCAAATCAGTGAAAAGAACCAAAAAGAACTTACACAAACAAAAGACATTGCCAGTGATATGACCAAAGCTGTCTTGGCACAGTACACTCCTGGCTAACGCTCAGTTCAAGCCTCCAGTCATAACAAGTCAGAAGAAGATTAGTGAGAGACTGCTAGCCAGTTGGGAAAAGGCAAGAGATATCTCTCTTGGGAGAGGAAAGCACAGTTAAGGACAGCTTGCCAAGCAACTGGACCAGTTATTTGACATAATTACTTGCAAGTGCCCAATTGTTCTCTGTCACAGGTTTGGATGCGATCGTGACTGTAAATCCGAGGCCCACATCTCATGTATTTGCAAGCGTGAACTGAAGATTCCTGTGATTGAACTGGCATTTGTCAAAGCACAGAGAGAGAAGACTGGCAGTATAGGGGCTCTCATGATTTCTAGCCAAGATATTCCGGAGTCCAAGAGACAGGAGGCTGCCAGAGAGAGACAGAAGAGGAGAAGAGTTGCCGAGGAAAAGAGACTTGAGAAGGCCCAGGGTGAGGTAAAAAAGGCCGATGATTGGAGTCAAGCTGATTCAGAGTTTAATGACTTCCCCCATGGCTGATCCGAGTGCTGACCAGGAGAATGGTGACTTTGTCCCTAACCCAGAAAATAATGATCCCAAACCTTCCAGGCATAAGATTCGAAATAGGAAAGATATCCCGAGCATAGCTCTGGCCAGCATGCGACACCACACCACACTGGTCTCAGAGAAACTGCAGAGATAGCAACAGCTGCCTGGGTTGACGGTGGTTTGATAACACCTGATGATGTTCACCTGGTGATAGATCATAACAAAGTAAGGAGAGCTCAGGAGAAACTTGTCAGTAACCTAGAAGAGGAGTTTGATAAGGGGATAAGAGAAAATGGACTCAATTGTTTGTTCTTTGATGGGAGAAGGGATGACACTAAAGTGTTCATGAAAGTTGGAGATTCTGACAAGTTGTTCCCTGCCATGGTGAAGGAGGAACACTACTCCTGCTGCAGTGAACCAGGAGGGAAGTATTTGTGGCATTTCACTCCAGAGAAAGATGACATCAGGAAACCAGCTGAGATAGTGGCAGATAACATTGTGAACTGGCTCAGAGAGAGGAAAGTAGACCAGACCCTGCAGGCCATTGGAGGGGACAGCACCAACACGAACACAGGGTGGCAAGGGGGGGTCATACAGTGGATAGAGCGGAAGATTGGGAGGAAGCTGGTCTGGATTGTTTGTGACCTCCACACCAACGAGTTGCCACTCAGACATCTGATCCAGGAGCTGGATGGCAAGACTCTTTCAAACAACAGATGGTCTGGTCCTCTTGGCAAGATGCTGGACTCTGCCACTGAGTTAGAAATAAATCCGAGCTTTGAAAAAATCACAGTTGGCCCTCCACTCGTTGAGCTTGCACATACTGTCATTGACGACCTGAGTACTGACCAGTACTATGGTTACATGATTTGCAGTGCCATCAAACTGGGTCATGCCTGATAGACTTGCTTACCTGCAGATAGGTCCAGTCTCACATTCTAGGTAGCTCACAACGGCTCTCAGGTTCTGCAGAATTTGGGTCGCTCATCATAAACTGAAAGGGAACCAGCTTCACAACCTGAGACTTATTGTCCAATTCATCGTGAGTGTCTACTTGCCAAATTGGTTCAACACCAAGGTCAAGTCATCGTTCTCCGAAGGTCCGAGGCATGTTCTCTTCCAGCTTGAGCTCCTGAGGAGTCAGCCAAGGAAGGTTGTTCAGATTGTGGAGCAGACTGTGAGGAGATCTTCCTGGTATGCTCATCCCGAGGCAGTTCTGCAGACAATGCTCTGCAGTAAGGATGAGGAGGAGAGAAGAGTGGCAGTCAAAAAGATCTTGGATATGAGACTTATGAGAGGATCTGGGCATGACGAATCAGTTGGTGACGATTCCTTCAGGGTCAGGAAGACTCCTGAAGTCAATCTAGGTGCCAAGACCCTCACTGATCTCATAGATCTGGATAACATCCAGGCTGGCAGTGAGCCCCTCTTACCTGCAGCCTCACCAATGTTCAAGTCAGAGCTTTCCTGGACAACCCCATGCATGTCCCTGCCTGGCCCTCGCACACCCAGAGTATAGAGCGTTGTGTACAGCAAGTGAGCGAGGCCAGCAGTCACGTGTACAGCCAGGAGAGGAGGGAAGGCTACATCCGAGCTCAGGTGGTCAGCAGGGAGGTGATGAGTAGAAACAGAAGCAAGAAAGACATGTTCTCTATGGTGTGCAGCAACACCGGGTCGTAGTAGTAAAACCGGTTTTGTATTTGATGATTTTGTTTTCTAAAGGAATATTAAATTTAATAAATGTGTCAAGATCATTCGTTTCACTATTCTGGATCATTTTCATCCTAATAAATTAACCTGATACATTTACTTTACTTTAAATAAGCTATTCAGTGGTGTTGGTAAAAGGGTGGGAATACTGAATTTTCATAAGAGTTCAAGTTAAAATTTACCTAGCAAAAAATGAAAACTTTTCAAATCTGAAGATATCACATGATTCTACACATAGAACTCCATCATTAATACCATGGGCCGATTTTTCAAACTCAAAAAAAAAAAATTCGCCTCCGTATGACACACCCTAGTAGATAGTTGACCCCCGCTCCGTGGGCGGCGCTGGTTGACCTAGACCACGAGGCACA